CCCCAAAACCCCAAAACCCCAAAACCCCAATTATGATATAAATAGTTGATTTACAAAATGGGGGAATCCTCTCTTTCAAACATAACAATTAGCATTGTAGAGAAGCTGAAATATTATGATATATAAGATATCAGTTCATATTTCACCACTCCAAATCTTAGGGTGAATCAGGGGAGTGCTCAACTCAATTTAGGTATTCAAGAACAATAAACTTTACATATAATGGACAAAAGTAAGATGCCCCTCTAATTGTACAGAACGTCCACCACTCTCTTTGGAGGTTGTGTTTCAGTCTGCATCAACATAGCCATGCTGCTCTATGCATGGCTGATGCTGACTATTATGATAAGTAAGTTACTTCAGACATTCACAGTTGCTAAATTAGCTAACCTGTTACATTTAATCTTTATTGAGCCTGAAATAATATTTGTTCAGAGAATAAGAACACTTCAAAGAGCATCAATACATCTGTAAAAAGTATGATTTTCTTTGAATCTGTAGATATCCTTAATGACACTGAAAGCATTGATCTACAGTATTTTAGGAGATAATACAGTTTTAGAGTCACAGAGTTCTAATTTGCGTTCAAAGGAACCTATTTGGGTGATGATATTGACCTTCTTGCACAGGAAAGCTACTTTATAATTGAGATTAAGCAGTATATTGTTAATGAGAGTAAGTCATCATGCATATTTAAAAATTTAAAATCAGAATTGACATTTTCTATAGCTACTGGAGAATACAAGGAGATTAACATTGATCCAAAATCTGAGGAGATGACTTTCAGTACTCAAACCAAGCCGAGGTTCGTATATCCTTCTTTACGTGTGCTTACAATGTTTTCAAAATAGTCATTTCAGGATCTATGGCATTCCCAGTGATGATCATACTTGCCAAATACCTTCTCTATAGATGAAAATGAAAGTGCATATTTCCAGTCTGATGAGCCCTTTCTAACCTTTGAGCAGTTGTATTAAACTAGAGTTTTGATTTCTATATTTTAAATTTTTGAATGAATATGAAGGGTAACTGCTAATCAGCAAATTTTTTATCAATTTTGTAATTTTAGAAATCATTAGATTTTACTTGTGTTTCTCTTGACAAAATTGGTGAGTTCAAGATTTGATTTAATGAGTTTTGGTCAGATTTGTATAGTTTAGGCATAAAAAATTTAAGATAAGGTGGTTTTAGACTCTTTTGATTTAACACCATTGATGGTTAATGCTTTCGAACTCGTAGTTTACGAGTTTGGAAAGAATTTCTTAAAAGTTATTATGGAATTATCTTAATGTTTACATAGATCACTCAGCTGCAAATAGATAAGATGTACTGACCAAACTACACTGACTTCCAAATACAGGGCAATATCAATTCGAATTTATATAAGTACTTCGAGCTGAACATCAACAGATGTAACTATGTCACTAGTGGAGTGGTGTGTAACACTGATGAAGAGATTAACAACATTATTCAGAATACAGATCTCAATATATATCAGGTATTCTAACTTCTGATAACTTCTAGGGAAACATTTATTTTGATTTTGACGATTACGAACAACCGATTGAGACCTACTTGGATGATAGATTCTTCTTCACGCTGATACCAGGATTCACCAAGACTAATCTCATTAAGATTCAGTACGCCTTGAGTAATCTCTATAGGAAGAACGAGGCTGAGATTCAAGATGATTACCTGGCCTACCTTCCTGGAGGAACCAACAAAGAGTTCATTACTTTAGAGAGGTTTGACCAAAGACTCTCAATTGAAGGTGCTGTCTTCCCAAATATTATCAGTGAGAGTTTAGTTGGAATAATGTGTTTTTAGGCTTCAAATTTATCAAGGATTCACACTCAAAATCTTATGAACGAGGAGTATTTACCTTACGCGAAGTTATCGGCAGCGTTGGGGGTCTTATGGGTATTTTTATTTGTCTTGGAGGAATAATAGTTAACATTTTCTCAAGCAAGCTCTTTTACTACTCAATTTTCTCCCAAATGTACCAAATTGAGCATCCTTGCTCAGTTAAAGAGAGCAAGAGTTCAAGTTATGAGTCTAAAGAAGCATCAACTAATCGAATTTTTCCAGTTGGCACTAACTATGTAGGGACATAACTGATTTTTAGGATGACAAAATACAGAATGATCTTCACGCCAGCAGTCATCAGGAATCATCTAGGAATGAGAGTATGTATATTGGGCTGATCAAAGAAGAGATGACCAACAAAACTTTAGAGACAATAAAAAGACGAGTTAAATACAACTGGAAGATTGAAGACCTGATTTATAACATATTAGGGGTCTTAAAATTTATATTCTACTGCTTTATAAAGAAGAAAGCAACTTTGAATGTTAAGAAACGACTTCAGTTCTATCAACAAGGAGAGCAGAAGTTTATCAAGAAGTTTGATGCAGTCAATTTTGTTCAGAGTCTGAGAAATCTCAAAGCTCTTACTAATTCTTTGTTTAATGAGAAAGAAATATTCATGGTCAAATATCAACGTTCGAATGCTTTAGTTGCAAATGAGAATTCAGAGAAACATGAAAATAAGAAGAAAGGAATGCCTAAAATATTCACCAGCATTGTTGAGAAGGCTCTATATAACATGAAAGTCAAACGAATTATGGTAATCCTTTCTTTAATAATTTTAGACTGATTACAATAGAGATGAATGGCAAGATAAAGATGCTAAATTATTTCATGGAGTTTATAGTGAAACTCCCTTAACTAGTAAGACCTATGGCTTTATGAAACATAGGCAAGGAGGTTGGATACATCCTTAGCAACCAATTTGGCCAAGACCAGATGGAACAACCAAGAACGAGCATATCACAACTTTCCCTCTACCAACATCAAGAATAAAAAATCATACCATCTTTAGAGAATCCAAGACCTAGAACCTTACAAGAGTAACTTTTCCTATTAAACCCTCCAAAAATCCCCATTCCCCATAAAATCCAAACCCCAGCTTCCTAATCTTCCTTTCACCTACTCACTTCCAAAACCCCCCCACTGGTCACTCAGCTCAGCCAAGTCGGCTCCTTCTAAAGCTGGGAATTCAGCTGAATTCGTGAAGGATTTTGGGCTGAGGGCTGGCTGTGGAGAGGTGAAGAAGGAATTTAGGGGAGAGGAGATGGGAGAGTGGATTGGGGGTAGGGAGACTGGAGGGGAGAGTTTGGATGGGATTGAAGGGTATGAGGAGGGGTAGGCATAAAGCTATCATTTGCATTCAATAGCATATTTTGAGGACGGGGTTTTGGGGTTTTGGGGTTTTGGGGTTTTGGGG